GGGGGCGCAGGGAGGGAGGGGGGAAATGATCTGATATTAATGGCTCAGATAGAAAGCAAATGTTTTGCGAATGATGATGGCAACAAATGGACAAATGTGCTTGACACAATGTATGGATTGTGATAAGAGTTGTATGAGCCCCCAATAAAATGATTTAAATATGTATATATAAATTTTTAAAAAATTTTAAAGAACTGACAAAAAAAACAAAATAGTGTGTACTATATTTTATAATATCCTATACCGATATTTATGAGTAAAACATCTGAAAAATGATCATAAACCATAATAAAAAATTAACATGAATTTGGTACTTTAAAAAAATCATTTTATTGAGTGCTGGTACAACTCTTATCACAATCCATACATCCATCCATTGTGTCAAGCACATCTGTACATTTGCTGCCATCATCATTCTCAAAACATTTTCTTTCTACTTGAGCCTTTGGTATCAGCTCCTCATTTTCCCCTCCCTCCCCCCTTCCCTCCCTCACGAGCCCTTGATAATTTATAAATTATTATTTTTCCATGTCTTACACTTTCCGATGTCTCCCTTCACCCACTTTTCTGTTGTCCATCCTACAGGGAGGGGGTTATATGTAGATCCTTGTGGTCAGTTCTCCCTTTCTCCCCCACCTTCCCCTTCCCCTCCTGGTATCACTACTCTCATTGGTTCTGAGGGGTTTATCTGTCCTGAATTCCAGCTCTTATCTGTACCAGTGTACATCCTCTGGTCTAGCCAGATTTGTAAGGTAAAATTGGGATCATGATAGTTGTGGGGAGGAAGCATTTAGGAACTAGAGGAAAGTTGTATGTTTCATCGTTGCTTCACTGCACCCTGACTGGCTCTTCTCCTCCCCGTGACCCTCTGTAAGGGGATGTCCAGTTGCCTACATTTGGGCTTTCGGTTTCCACTCCACACTCCCCCTCATTCACAATGATATGATTTTTTTGTTTTTTGGTGCCTGATAACTGATCCTATCAACACTTTGTGATCACACAGGCAGGTGTGCTTCTTCCATGTGGTCTTTGTTGCTTCTGAGCAACATGGCCACTTGTTTACCCTCAAGCCTTTAAGACCCCAGATGCTATATCTTTTGATAGCCAACCACCATCAGCTTTCTTCATCACATTTACTTATGTACCTGTTTTGTCTTCAGGGACCATGTCGGGAAGGTGAGCACCATGGACTGCCAGTTTAATAGAACAAAGTGTTCTTGCATTGAGGATGTAATTGAGTAGAGACCCGATGTTCTCTGCTAGAATTTGGTACTTTTCTTAATTTGAAGTACTTTTAAATATCTGATAAGTTTGTATGATAAGTGTTATAAAAAAAGTGTTATAAAAGATTTATTATAAAAAATTGTTCTAATTAAGTCATTCATATTTCATGAGTGACATCCTTTAATATTTTTTTGCTATTCTACCTTTGTTGAGAGTAATGACTAAAGAACAATATCAGTGGCTTTATTTTTAAAAATCTGCTTTATAAAGATTGCCAGATAATGGACTCCCATTGCAGATCTTCCCGTCCTATAAGAATATATATTTCAATTTGGACCCTTTTAGGTCCTGTTCTTCCCTTCTCTAGCCTCTATTGCCTTTACTAGCTGTAGATCAGTTTCCTCAGTATTTTCCTAAAAGTAAGTTTATGGGAGATTAATTGATAATTTGGCTAGGTATAGGATTCTAGGTTGAAATTTACTTTCTTAAAAATTTTAAATCATAAGTCCATTGCCTTCTAACTTGCGGGGTTTTTGTCGAGGCATGGTGTTAGTCTAATGCCTGATCCTCTGCCTGTTTATTATTTGTTTTCTAGAAGCTTCCAGGAGTCCCTTCTACTTTTGCATGCTTGTCTTGGAATTTCATGTTATTTCTTTAATCTAGAAACTTTTTGAATTCTGTATTTTCCTTGTAAGGTTCTTTTAGGAATTCTCACCTTTTTCTTATCTGGTTTTACTTCTGGGTAATCCCATCATTTAATATTAGACCTATTGAAGCCTATTTTATCTCCGGTTTTCCTTTTGTCTTTTGTTCTATATTCTATAATATTTCTCTGGTTTTATCTGAGAAGACCTTGAGGAAATATTTTATTTAAAAAAATAATTTTATTGTGAATCATACAACTCTTATCACAATCCATGCATACATCAATTGTATAAAGCACATTTGTACATTTGTTACCCTCATCATTCTCAAAACATTTGCTCTCCACGTAAGCCCCTGGCATCAGCTCCTCATTTTTCCCCTCCCTCCCCACTTCCTCCTCCCTCATGAACCCTTGATAATTTATAAATTATTATTTTGTCATATCTTGCACTGTCCAACGTCTCCCTTCACCCACTTTTCTGTTGTCTGCCCCCCAGGGAGGAGGTTATACGTAGGTCCTTGTAGTCGGTTCCCCATTTCCAGCCCACCCTCCCTCTACCTTCCTGGTAGTGCCACTCTCACCACTGGTTCTGAAGGGATCATCCGCCCTGGATTCCCTGTGTGAGGAAATATTTCATTTTATTATTTTCTATTTTTCAGAATTTTCTCTTTTCCTCAAGTGTTCATTTTTTAAACAGTAGCATTCCGTTTTCGTATCATGGATACCATATCTTTTTTAATACATTCATGGAGTTTTCCTGGAGTTTATCCCTCCTTCCTTCATTATGCTGTTCCTCCACTTCACCGTGTAGGTTTGGCCCTGTCTCTGTCATTCACGTCGCTGATTACGCTCTTTAATTAGTACTTAAAAGATAATTCTCAGTATAAGAATGGAAACTAATGTGGGTGTGGGAGTAATTTTTTAACCGATAAACTTCATTATAATACAACACTTCAATTAATAAATCTCAAAGATTGGTATTTTAAGCGTTTTATTTGAGAACTCTCCTTAGCTTCCAAGAAAATGCAATTGATCTCCCCAAAGTGACACATTTTAAGCATTGGACTGCTGACCTCAAGGTCAATGGTTCAAAGCCACCAGCCACTCTGGGGAAAATGATGCTGTCTGTGACTATAAAGATTTACACCCTTGGAAACCATATACAGGGTGGCAAGGAGTTGGAAACCAGTTGACAACAGTGGACTTGATTTTGTTTTTTTGATCCTTCACTTAGAAATGCACTAGGACATTGTTGAACAGGAAGACTTTTGCATTAAAAGCCCCGTGTTCTATTTGGTGCCTCATTCTGGCCTTGCTTTGATGTTCCTTTTCCTGGGAATAAGCTTCTAATGTGGTTGCTTTAGAAAGAAAGGCCTGGTGATCTGCTTCTAAAACTCAGCCACTGGAAACCCTATAGGTCACAATAGGCCTATCCACGACTGATCATGGGGATGACATGGGGCTGGGCAGCATTTCCTTTACCCAGACATAGGGTCGAATGAGTTTGGGGTGACCATCACTGTCAATAACAACAATAACATGGGCACATGTACTGGGAGAAAGGCTGGGGGGTGTAATTCAGTCTTTTTCTTTCAGCTTTATTTCTCGCCCTAATTTTGTACAGTTCATTGGTGACTTCAGTCCTGAGCTTTCCCATAATTCTGCAGGACAAATCAGTTTATTTCTGGTGGGCACCTCTCAAATTTTGGTTCTCTTTACTCTCTTATGGCTCTTTCGTCTGCGGAAATTTTCTTTGCTCTCTCTTTCCTTTCACCTCTTTCTTCTTAGGGATTAATAACGTTGTTATACTCTTATTTCAAGGAAACCTGGTGGCATTGTGGGTTAGACATTAGACTGATAATGACAAGGTTGCTAGTTCAAACCCATTAGCCATTGCACAAGAGAAAGGAAAGGTGAGGCTGTCTTGTAAGACTTACTTAGGGTCACTGTGAATAGGAATTGACTTGACAGCAGTGGTTTTGATTTGGGCATTTACTCTTATTTCAGTATGTTTGGGAGAAGGGTTTGACAATTTCAGCAGATTACACAAGAAGCATATCATCATCTCCGCTGTTCTGTGAGAGTTTATGTGACATTTAAAATATTAAAATAATAACAATGAAAATAGCCACAGCAATTTAAAAGTAGTAGCTGCTATTACTTTTATTTCTACTATTAGCATTCGGTTATTTATTGGCTACTTGCTCTTTTCAAGACTCCACAGTAAGTGCTTTACTTAGGTTAAGTTGCTTACTCCTATTAGCAAGTAGGTTCAACTGGTGACATTTAGGGAAGCAGCTGAGTGCTTAACCACGGTGTAACCAGGATTCTTCCCACAACGTTATATGCAAATACACGTAGAGTCTCAAAGAGGTCAAGTATGTTGTATGAGGTAACACAGACAGCCAGGGCAAGGTGAGATGTACAGTTCTGGTCTATTTGAAAGTCCCTTATTCATATTTACCAACAATGCATCCATTTTTCTGAAGACTTAAGATTTAACCAAAATCACTGAGCATTGTCTGCATTGACTGTCCTTGTCGTTTTGGAGATACCATTTTAATGTTAAGAATATCTTTACTCACATATGAAGACTGAATTGTTTACCATCATTAATTAATAAATGTAATATTTGACACGGCCTGTATTTACAAAAAGGAGCCCTGCTGGTTTGGGGGTTAAGTGCTCTGATGCCAACTGAAAGTTTGCTGGCGGGAACCCACCAGCCAATCTCCAGGAGGACGATATGGCTGTCTAGGTTCATGAAGATATTTGGCCTTGGAAACTAGGAGGTAGTTGTCCTCGGTCTTATAGGGTTACTGTGAGTCAGATTTGACTCCAGGACAATGGATTTGGTTTTTGAATTTACATTTACAAAATAGTTGGGCCTACCAACACTTTTGTGAAGAAGGTTTTAGTATCTCCATTTGCAGAATTGGAAATGAATATTCATAGAAGTTCAGTGACAGAAGTAGTAAGTGGTAGAGGTTAAAGTGGAATTTGAGTATTCTGATTGCAATCCATGTTTTATTTTCACTATTCTACATTACTTCTCCAAACCTGATTTTTTAAAAGTCAGATGTCTTCAGAAATCCAATTAGTAATCTGACCTAATGATTTTATCTTTCAGGTTTTTGCCATTTTCTTCCTACCATAAAAATGAGAAGTACACACCATCAGTGTACTCACCATGCAAGTATGATGCGGATTCCTATCGACATCAACACTTCCGCGAGGAGAATCCTAAGAAGTGGGTCAATGCCAAGGTGAGATAATGCAGTATTTAACAATGGCTCTCCTTTTATGATGCTAAAATAGGTAGCAAATATAACTATTCTCATTATATATAACATCTTCATGCTTACAAAATTATTTATAATTTTTTTATATAAAGATGTGCTCCTTGTCTATGCTGACAGAAGATTTATTTTGATTAGTCATTTTTTTCTTCAATGTTGTGTTGTTATACTTTATGGCTCAGACAACCTATGATCAAATGCATGGATTATTGACAAGCCAAGGCTTATTCTGTGGCCACAAAATGGAGTGAAGATCTCCTAGGCGTGGAGATCAGTGTTTGCTTTCTCTTTCTTTGTATATGTATGTGTGATGTACATAGATAACACAATGCTTAGCGAGCACGTGGGTATTGTACATATTTGTGTGATATATGTGTGCGTGTATATGTGTCAAACATTTCTCATTGCTGTTGAGTCACCTCTGACTCATCGAGATTTGCAGGGACAGAGCAGATGTGCCCTTTTGGATTTCCAAGGCTATAATTCTTTATCAGTGCAGGGAGCCTCATTTTTCTGCTATGGAGTGGCTGGTGGTTTTAAGCTGCTGACCTTGTGGTTACCATCCTAATGAATAATCCACTAAGCCTCCAAAGCTCCTTTTCAGGTGTGTCATGTAGACATATTAATATATGTATGTTATATTTTTATTTATTATGTAAGATGCATATATGCTATATTTATACTTATATTTGTATGTTACATGTAACAATCTCTTTTATATGTTTATATGTGATACCTGTTAGGTGCTGTTTAGTGAATTTCAATGTAAAGAGACCCCATGTGCTAGAGTAGAACTACCCCATGGGGTTTTCTAGTTGGTAGTCTTTATGCCATATCGGCAGGTCATTTTCCCATAAAGCTGCTGGGGTGGGGTAGGGGGGCTTTAAATCTGCAACCTTTTAACTAGTAGCTGAGTGCTTAACTGTATCCTACCAAGGCTTTTTAGTTAACATATGTGTACGAGATAGAACACATATGCATAACATAGTTGTTACAAATGCACCAATGCATAACATATGTAATGGTATATAACTACACATTAATATTTATGTTGTATTTATAGGTGGATAATAAATACAATCATTCTTTTTTTAATACAATCATTCTTAAGATGCCTTATTTTACAAAAAAAATTAGTGTAATTAAAAAAACCAACCTATTTCCCCAAATTTAAACATTATGATCATATATATATATATAGCGTTTTATATTTTGAGCATACTTTACTTATTTTTTGACTTAGAGTAGCACTTTCAAATTGCAAGGATTAATAAAACAGTATACATAAATACTCCTTGCCTTTATTAAAGATTCAATAAGGATTATAAATTATTAGTCACAAATTGTGATATAGAAAATAAAGTAAATGAATATTTCAAAATCTTATTCCATAGTAATCTTTGTTCTCACATACCATCTCCTAAAAAAGGAAAATACCAAGATGTCTTATCCTTCTTGTTAGGTTCCTCTGAGTGGGGTCTGACTCGCAGTGGCTCTGTGTTCCACAGAATTGCTCAGTCGCTCAGCTTCCTGACAGTGATTGCTCTGTGTGAGCCCACGGTTGCAGCCACTGCATCAAATCATTTTGCCTTCCACTTTTTTGTTTACCCTCTGGTTTCCAAATATTAAAACCTTCTGTATGGGGTATTTACCTCCTGTTCACATGTGTAAAGCCTGTGCGATACAATCTTTTCACCTGCACTTCTAAGGAGTCTCCTGGCTATACTTCTTCCAAACACAGATCCATTCATTCTTCTGGCAATTCAAAGGAGATGTCATATTCTTTGTCAACACAATAATTCAAAGACATCAATTCTTCTTTGGCCTTCTTTACTCTTTGTCCAATTTTTGCATGCATATGAAGTAACTGAAAATGCATGCCTTGGGTTAGGCATAACATTGACAACTTTGCTTTTTAACACTTTGAAGATGTCATTTGAAGCAGACTTGCTTAAACAATACATCATTTAATGTCTTGAGTATTGTTTCTATAGACTTTGATTTTGAATCCTGGAGAAACGAAATCCTTGACAATATCAATATTTTCTCCATTTATCATAATGATGTTTATTGTTGTGAGGATTTTTGCTGTCACTACATTAAGGTATAATTCATAATGAAACCTGCAGTTTTTACCTTTATTAGCAAGAGCTTCAAGTCTTCTTCTATTTTTACAAACAAGGTTCTATCAATTGATATTGCAGCTGTTTAATGAGACTTGCTCCAATAATGGTTCCACATTCTTCATGATATAATTTAGCTTCTCATTATTTGCTCAACAACCATATTGAATAAGTATGGTGAAAGCATACACATTTACAAAACTTAAATTATACAACATTCCCCTTTTCTGCCTCTTGTTCTATGTTCCATTTCCACAATTAATTTTCTGGAATTTTATTATCCACTATGTCATCCATAGTTTATTATGATGCATAACTGAATGCCTTTGCATGGTCAATCAAACACAGGTAAATAACTCTCTGGTAATTTTTGCTTTCAACCAAGATTAATCTGACATCAGAAATGTTATCTCTTCTTCCACATCCTCTTCTAAATCTGGCTTGAATATCTGGCAATTCTTTATTGATGTTCTAGTGTAACTGTTTTAAAATTGTCTTCAGCAAAATCTTTCTTGCATGTGATATTATGATATTATTCAATTTTTTTGGCATTCTGTTTAGGCACTTTTCTTTAGTGACTGCCTTCCAATTTTGAGGGGCACAGACTAGTGAGAACTTCCAGAGCTGCATTAGTTTATATATTGTCAATTTCTGGAGACTTGATTTTCATTGATGTATTCAGCACAGCTTGTCCTTCTTCCTTAATACCAATGGAGCTTGGTCATCTTCTACCTCCTGAATTGATGTGTTCTTGAGTAATCTTTTTTAGTATAGTAACTCTGTGAATTCCTAACATCTTTATTTCATGTTTCTTGTGTTGTTCCTTAGTTCCTAGTTGGACAACCAGCCACAAAGTCTGAGGGAGTAATTCTGGGCTTTCTACTCCCACAAAGAGTTACAATTTCAGAAACTCACAGGGTCACTTCTACTCTGTCCTATAGGGTCACATTGACATGGTGATGGTGAGTTTGATTTGCTTTGGTGTTGTTCATTATCTTGTGCAGATAATCCTTCAATATTGCATCTTGAGACTTGAATATTTTCTTCAATGTGTTTAACTTCAGAAATGCCAAGTGTGTATTCCCTTTCCTTTCTAACTCCAGGTCTTTGCACATTTCATTATAATACGTTATCTTCTTGAGCCACCTTTTGAAATGTTTAGCTTTAGTTCATCATTCCTTTCACTCACTTCAGCTTCCCCATGTTTAAGAGCAAGTTCAAGATGAGATTCTCTTCTGGCATTCACTTTGGACTTTTCTTCCTGTCTTGTCTTTTTAACGATCTTGTGCATTCTTTGTCTCTGTGACTTGAAGGCATCCACAAGGGTTCTGGTCTTTGGTCACTGATGTTCATAGTGTCAAATGTGTTCTTGAGATTGTTTCTAAATTCTGGTGGCAGGTACTCAAGGCTGCATTTTGGCTCTTGTAAACTAGTTTCATTTTCTTCAGCTTCTACTAGAACAGTGGTTCTCAACATTCCTAATGCTGCGACCCTCATGCTGTGGTGACCCCCCCACACACACACAAAGCATAAAATCATTTTTGTTGCTACTTCATAACTGACATTTTGCTACTATTATGAATCAGGTGGCCCCTGTGAAAGGGTCATTCGACCCCCAAAGGGAACACAACCCACAGGTTGAGAACTGCTGTGCTAGAACTTGGATGTTTGTCATTGATAGTGTAATATATAGTCAACCCTTGGTCTTGTTCTGATTGATGATATTTAGCTTCTCCACTGTCTCTATAGGTTTAGCCAATTTGATCCTTCCATTTGAGTCCACTTGGTGAATTCCACGTGTATAGTCACTATTTATGACTCATAACGAGCCTGTAAGAATTGCCCCTGTGTTTTTTTTTTCTTTTCGAGGCTTTACATCTTTATTGGAGCAGAGATCTTTATCTTCCTGTTGCAAAATGGCTGGTGGTTTTGAACTGCTGACCTTATGGTTATCAGCCCAAGTCAAAATCTGCTATACCAACAGGACACTATTTATTATGTTGAAAAAGATATTTGAAATTAATAAGTCACTAATCTTTCATGTAATCCCCTATTTAATTTCTCTCACCATGGTGGTATTTTTCAACTACTCATCATTCTTATTTGTTTCCAACTTCTGAATTTCAATGATCAGTAATTATAAATGCATCTTAATTATGGATTTGACCAATTTCAGATGCAGATTTTGGTATAACTCTTCAATTTCTAATTTTTATCATTAGTGGTTGGTTCATAAACTCATGGGCATATGGATTTACCCTATTGCTGGCAGCAATATTGTTTTTCAGAATATATTTGGAAAGGTTCTCTTTAACGACAAATATGAGCCCATTCATCTTCACTTTGTTATTCATAATGTAATAGTTAGGTTTTGCGTCAGTTTAGCTGGGCCGGGACTCTTCTGTCATATGCTCCAGTATCATGTGGGAAGAATAGGGTAGAGTGTCACAGCCTTTTCTAGTTACATCCTTGGGACAATTTCTGCAAGTTTCATTGGGACTGTGGCCCACTCTCATTACAGATGGACATTCTGTGGAAGCTAGCTCACTTTTTTTTTTTTGCTGGATCTGGATCCTGCATCTGGTTCAACAACTTCCTTTTATTTTACTTGCTGATCTCAGGAGCCATCATTGGATGACTGACCTTTTACTTGCTGATCTCAGGAGCCATCATTGGATGACTGACCTTGGATTCATTCAGTTTTGCACCAACCAGCCTGTGATCTTCCTGCTTCAGCTTTCTTCCTGTTCACCAGCCCCTGTAGCCACATGAGTCAGGAGAAGCCTCTTGCTAACATCTACCCCAGGCTGAACTTATCCACATCTACCACAGTATGAACCCTTT